CCCCTGGAGAGCAAAGATCTCTACCACCTCTCTAGTATCCCAGTGCCTCCACATAAACCAGAAATGACTACCACACAGACTCACACAAATTCAGAAAACCTAGGTGAAGAAGGGCTTCTCCATCCTCATGAAGGCTACCCTGCTGGCAACCCTGCTTGCTCACTGAACAAGGCAAGAATCAATGTAGTGCGATCATGGGAAATTACTACTCTAACAAACAGGATCTGAGTCCCAGCTAGCCCTGTAGTGGCCCCTGAGCAAGTGGCTTTTGTTGGGGAGGTTTGTTCAAGTTTTTGAGGGGTTGGGTAATAGAAAGCCATATCTGTTTGGTATGCCAGACAACCAGATATCTAAGGTGCTGCTGGTACTCCTACTACCAGGTATGTAAGATGCTACATACCATGTAATTCTTGGGAGCTGGGTTTGAGTCCTGGCTGATACTGGCTGGAGTGCATGGAATTGGTTCCAGCTTTCTCAGGGAAGAGGAACTGAAAGGTTGCCTTTCCTGCAGCTAAATATGTAAAGCGACAAAAATGAGAGTCAAGCTTACCTACACACAGCACAAAGCATACCAATACCCTGTATTCCTGACTTGGCCATTTCCTTACCAAGAAGTCCGCTTCAGCCTGACCTGTGATTTGATGAATGAAGGCTGGGCAGGCAGCAGTGGTTCTTGAAGCCGGACAGCCTACCAGGCAAGGTGTGCCAGTGGCCTACAGATTGACTTTTATTAGTAAATGTTTAGGATTGTGAATCCAAAAAAGATGACAAAGCCGGTAGGGAAGTACATATTGCCCGAGCAAGGAACTAACATTAGAGGGATGGGGGTGAGGAGGGGAACGCAACTAAGTTATAGGACATACAGTGTTAGCCAACTAAGCCTGGGGGTGGGGGGAAGGGGAGGGAGGGGGTTCGCGACGCTGAGAGAAAGAAGATAGATACACACAAACCCGTTACAATGGTCCTCAATGGTGGAGGAAGTGGTTCGAAGAAAGTGTCTCAGTCTGTATAGAGTCTCATCGCGGGGGTCCTCTTCAGGTGGAGCGGGGTCATCCGTTGCTGAAGAATCCTCTCAAAGTGAAGTCCATCTGGTACAGAGGGGGGGTTCAGGCGGTCTCCTCTGGGTCTGGTCCGGCGGCAGTTCATCTAGGAATCACACAAGATTCCTATTCTTGCAAGCTGAACCTGAGCCACCATTTTTCCAGAGACAGACTTTATGCATTTAGCAAGGTGTACTTAAAGCTCTGTTTCAGCTGGCCTTACATTCAGCAACCCTTTCTGTTTTCTTCTTTTGGCCCTAGTTTCCCTAACTTGTGAGTGAATATGTTTTCTCAACGCTGGCATTGCCCTGGTTTAGCTTGCTCACTTGCAGGCCAGCCTTTCTGTTCCCTATACCCTCAAAAATCGGGGTTCACTTTTCTGAACTAGCGGTAGCTCAGGGCAACGTCATTGTCTTTCTTTTTAAAGGGCCTGAGATTTAAAGCAAGGCCTGCTCCTGGGCTTTCCTGAAAGTTTCTATACAAAAAACTAGAACTCTTGGTTCCAAAATGATACCTTTTATTAGACTTTTTTGGTCTAATAAAAGGTATCGTTTTGGAACCCAGAGTTCTAGTTTTTTGTATGTCTTCTTGTCTCAGACCAACACAGCTACCGAGTACAGTACATTCCTGAAAGTTTTGCTTTCTAGATGGCTGAAGAGGGGTGGGGGAGTTGATTTGCCTTTTAACATCTGTATTTTTTCCTGTGCGCAGTGCAGGATAGGTCAGGCGAGGAGCTGGACATCTTGTTAAGGGGACTGCCTTGTTCTCTTAGTGAAGGACTCCCTCTCCAGCCTGGCCTGCGAGCGCAAGCAGACGGTAGGGCGGCCATCATAGAGGACAGTCTGGTTGTCCTCTGTTGATACGAAACTGGATGGCTTTATGTCCTGTTTTTTTCTTGAAGAGAGAAATAGAGGACATAAAGATGCCAGGTTTTGTATCAATAGAGGACAGAGTAGCAGAAAACTGCAGTGTCCTCTATGATGGCAACCCATCCTGCTAACCCGGGGCATCCCAAAATCTTGAGTCGGGCGCCACAAAGTCATGAGATTTTGCAAGAAATGCCAGGGCCTTTTTAGCTTGTCTCCTCCTGCCACAGTCCTTGGCGTCACGTTGGCCCAGGCTCCCCGCAGCAGCCCCCTGCTTGTGGGGGCCGAGAGTGCGGGGCCTGGGGCGACGGGCCCTTGCCTGGGGCTCGCGGCACCTTCCTTGTGTTGCGGGGCTGCGCTGCCGAGGGCTCCCCACAGCCGCCCGCGGCCTCCGCCTTGGCTTCGAGGGGGCCCCGAGCCCCCGGAGGGGAAGGGGGAGGAACCATCGAGCGCGCGGTCCTCCGCCGCGCAGAGCGGCCGCGGGGGTAGCCGGGCGCCGAGGGGCTTCCGGTGAGCGGTGCGGGTCGGCGGGAAGGGGGTGGGCAGCGGCCGCAGGGTGAGAGCCGGGCCGGAGCGCGCGGGGATTTGGGGGGGCTGGGACTCGTGGAGCCCACGGGCCGTGCAGGGCCCGAGGGACACCCCGCACCGACCTGCCCCCCCGGACCCGAGCGAGTGGCTGGGGGGCTGGGCCCCGGCGCCGCCCCCGGACTGCGCGGCAGGAGGGGCGTCGGCGGGGGGACAGTAGCAGGTCCTGGAGCACTTTGCCCCATGATGCCCACATTGCAGGTGGGGAGGCTAATTTGGGGTCAGCCGGCTGGCAAGGCCTGGCGGGGTAGAGTGGGCAGGCCCCTGAGCCGTGGTTCAGTGCTCGGGCCACTGACCCTGAACACAGGCCACTACTGCATGGATATCTGTATGGATATCTACATTTACCTATATCTTATGGGATTATGTAAGTGTTTGTTAACAAGTGAGAGCTGCATTTGTTTCCATCCTCCTCTGACTAAAGGCCCTGGGACTTGCAAAGGAAAGGGAGCCCAGACAGCCTGACTTAGTCCACTTCTAGATGATTCAACATAGTCTGGGAGAGTGCTCAGCACTATTGTGTTTGCATGTTTTCCAGGAGTACCTTGAGCCATGGGGCTGATAGCTGCCCCCTGCTGTCCCCTTTCTTATCCTGCCTCTAGGGGCAGGAACATTTGCAGCGAAGAGCCTTTTTTTGTTTTTTGGTGGGTATTATTTGCTCTCTGCTTCCAGTAGAGAAGGCAGCCTGCCCCATTGCACTGGGTGACGGGTGGCGAGTTTGAGGGCCATCCTTGATTTCCATGAGAGTGTGCTCCGTGGTCTGGAACTAGCTCCCAAGAAAGTTTTGCCTCCTGCCTAAAAAATGACTCGTCTCTCCTGTGCGTGGACCACAGCCAGGTTCACAAGTCTGTTGCTGCCTTAGGACTAACAGTGCTGAGTCATTAATTCCTAGTGTGGACACTCAATGTATTTCCAAACATGAATTATGCCATGACCCAGAGCAGACAGAATTGTTAATTGATGCCACTCAGTGCAGACTTCTTCCAAACCATCTATGTGAGAGACATTGCATGAGAAACAGCAGAGAGCTTAGAAAGTGATTCCTGGCCATGGTAGACAGAGTTTGAGTGAATCAGAGCAGGTCCTTTGGGTGAGACCTCTGATTCTTCTACACAGGGGACAGGCTCTTTTACTAGTCCGGGATTTGCCTTTCTTGAAGGGGCTGGTCAAACAAAGATCAGGAGCAAAATTGGGATCCTCTGAAAAATAGACTTAATTATGTTCACTTGACAGAAACATCACTAAACTGCAGGAACCCTGGACCCAGCCCTGACAGCCTCTTGCCTTTCCCCATGAAGAAGGTTTCCCATTCCCTAGAGATGTGGTCTTTCAGGAATGGGATGGCAGCAGGGCCTTAAGGAAAGGGGGAGCCCTTGAGTAAATTATCAGACCAAAAGGGAGGCTTTGAACAAGAACCTGGGGAAAGGTGCTGCAAGAGAAATTCCTTGCTTGGCCACTCTCAGCTCCTTTGATTTTGTAACCAGCCCCTGCTGGCCCTGCTCAAAACCCCCTTCCAGCCTTTGCTTAGGTCTCTGGGCCCTGGAGCAGGACCATGTGCCTCCTCTGGAGGAAGGGGAAAAGCTGCCAGTTCCTATTACCATCTTGGCTCTGCGTTCCACTATGCTGTTACAACTCTGATGGGTAGAGGTGAGAACCAGGCCCTTGGCCTTATGTACTTGGCTCTTGCCTGGTGTACCTCATCCATACATCTCAGTGCATTTGCAAGGCAGGGTAGGTTCATCCTACTTTTACAGAGAAGAGAAACTGAGGAGGGGCAGGGTTCTTAGAAATCAGAAAGTGAAGTATAATAAACATCACATGGGATTTATGAGGGACAAGGGAAGAGATGATAGGAATAGAGATTTTCTAAATGGATGAGAGGACAGTTTTGTCCTGATGAATTAAATTTGCCAGCCAAATTCTATTAGCCTATATGGCTTGCTCTTGTGTTGTTATTGTCTGTGGTGCTTGTTCTAGCAGCATCTATGCTAGATACTGTTCAGATGTAGAGGAGGACCAAGACCGTGACCAAAATGCTTACCAGTGTCTTGCCCAAGGTCATCCGAAGCAAGGCAGTAGCAGTGCCAGTATTAGAACCCATGTCTCCCAAGTCCCAGGCTTCCAGTGGGGGCAGAGAATAAGATCAACATCCCCCTCCTTTTCCTTGTGTCCCTGACTGGAGAAATAACTGATTCATGGCTGGATTTTCTGTCTTCACAGAAAGCTGCAGCATGAGGAGGCGGATCTCCAGATCCACAGAGGCTCCAAAGTGACCTGTGCCTAAAACCAGCTGGGAAGATTGAGGCTGCAGCACTTTGGGGGCATGGCCAGGCTAGTCCCTTCCCTGTGACACTGTCTGTTTGGTGGTCTGTGGCCAGCTGCTCTCATGGGGGAGAAGACTAACACGTGCCCATACTGTGGGAAGGGTTTCCGGCGCAGCTCCCACCTGGCACGGCACCTGGGCACCCACTCGGGGGGCAGTGAACAGTGCCTCCACGCCTGCCCCCAGTGTGGCCGGATCTTCACGCAGAGCTCATCGCTGGCTCGTCACCAGCAGCAAGCCCACGCTGGTGAGCGCCCCTACTCCTGCACCCGCTGTGGCAAAGCTTTTGGGCGCAGTGCCCACTTGGCGAGGCACCAGGAGACCCACTCAGGGGAACGCCCCTACCGCTGCTCCTACTGTGGCAAGACCTTTGGGCGCAACGCCCACCTCACCCGACACCACAGCACCCACACCGGGGAGCGCCCCTACCAGTGTGGGCTCTGTGGCAAGGCCTTCACCCGCGGCTCCCACCTTACCCGGCACCAGCTCACCCACACCGGGGAGCGCCCCTATGAGTGCACCCGCTGCGGCAAGGGCTTCACCCGCAATGCCCACCTGGCGCGGCACCAGGGCACCCACACCGGTGAGAAGCCCTTCCACTGCACCGACTGCGGCAAGAGCTTTACCCGTGACACCCACTTGGCACGACACCGGGCCACCCACACTGGGGAGCGCCCCTACAAGTGCGCCGACTGCGGCAAGGGCTTCAGCGCCACATCCCACCTCATCCGGCACCAGAGGACACACCGGGCTTAATGGCCCCACTTCGATACCAAGGGCCCTGGATGTCCTCACCCCCCTATAGATGCCAAGAGGGTGCTAGTTCCCACACTGCTGCCTACCAGAGAGCTCCCCCTTGTGAGATCCAAATGGTGCTGATTTCCATGCTGGCACCCACAAAACAGCTTCTCGCAGGCAGGGCAGAAGACGTGGATCCTGCCCTGCTGCAATGACTGGTTTGTCTGGGTGTTAACTGTGGGCTTCCCAGTGATGGGAGTCTAAGTGTGCTCTGGGTACACCAGGGATGACATTGCCAAGGTCAGTGTGTTTTATCAAGGGAAAGAAATTCATCTCTCTCCATACCATGGGATAGGTCTGCACTTCAGTCTCTGCTGGGTCTGCAGTGTAGTGTAGATGCTCAAGTTAGCTTTAAGTCAGCCATCTTGGGTATCAGTAGCAGAGTAGCACAGCCACATGGAGCTGAGCAAAGGCTGTATAACTTGCCCAAGAAGCTGAAGAATTGCTTGGCCAGTCAGCCCCCACCAAACTGTGCTGCCACAACCAGACTGCTACTGGTACCTAAACTGGCTGGGGGCAAGCTAGCTCAGGAAAG